TGTATCTATTTTGTATTATTATAAGAATTCAACAATTCTCATTTTTTTTATACAACGTAAAATGTGTCTTAATAATAGAGTAAAAAGTTTATAGATGACCAAGTCAGGAAAACTTAGTATTAGGTAATACAAATACAAAAAAAAGGTTGAAATGTGAAGTAAAATAATATATGGACCTAGGATAAAAACAGATATTCTACTAGATTATACCATAAATTATATAAAATCTAAAATAGTGTTAGTCATACCTGGCGTTTGTTGGTTTGTACATGACGTCATATTTTTCAATACCTATGAGTGATATTTTCCAAGATACTTTAACAGTGGTTGGACTTATGAACATGACCGTGATGTCACCAGGAGCTTGACTGGCAGAAATACACCCTGCGGTTCAAATACATAGTTTATTAAACGATTTTCATAAATTTTGCAATTTGGGAGTTATTGATATAAGTTTTAAGCAACTATTTTTTGTTAATTAGTAACAATTATCAGTACAGTTTTTTTTTTAAGTAAAATACTTGATGATGTGTAATTTATACAATTGTTTGTTTAATTATATGTTTATTTAATATTGTTTGAACAACTTTCATTTGATCATTTAATCATGTTGTAGATTCTGAACGAAGTGATGAATGTATTGATTTTACAGTGATGTGTTTTTTTTTTTTTTGTGTCTGTGTACAGCATAACTACTCGAAATAATGCTTCAATTTCAAACTTTGGGGTGGTTTTCGATGGAAAAGTGAATATCCTTGGTACATTATAGAGGTCAAAAGTAAACATTTTCCAACAGTTTTCAAAAAAATCGAGAAAAACAAAAAAAAAAATGACAGAAAAACGAGAATTTTTACGCAAAACCAGTTTTCAACTAAATCGATGTTTTTATATGGTTGTAATTCAAAAACTAATCACTATAAATACTTTAAATTTTCACCAAATGTTTATGTTAGTGTTATCGATATACAGTTTAATTTTTTGAAGAAATTGAAGCGTCATTATATGAAAAATGTTTTAAGGGTTTGAGTTTTACATTTTTATGAAATCGCGTAACGATAACGATTTATCCTCAAACTAGGTATATGTATATTTATGATAATATAAGGTAGGTATTATGAATTATGAGTTATCATGCAATGT